TGTCATAAATTGCTCTTACTATTTTGAGATATGTTTTATCAATACTTAATTTGTTGAGAGTTTTTAGCATGAAGGAGTGTTTAATTTTATCGAAGTCCTTTTCTGCATCTATTGAGATAATCATGTGGCTTTTGTCATTGGTTCTGTTTATGTAATGGATCACATTTATTGATTTGCATATGTTGAACCAACCTTGCATCCCAGGGATGAGGCCAACTTGATTGTGGTGGATAAGCTTTTTGATGTGCTGCTGGATTGGGTTTACCAGTATTTTATTGAGGATTTTCGCATTGATGTTCATCGGGAACATTGGCCTGAAATCTTCTTTTTTTGTGTGAGTCTCTGTCAGGTTTTAGTATCAGGATGATGCTGGCCTCATAAAATGAGTTAGGGAGGATTCCCTCTTTTTCTATTGTTTGGTGTAGTTTCAGAAGGAATGATACCAACTCCTCTTTGTACCTCTGCTAGAATTTGGCTGTGAATCCACCTGGTCCTGGGCTCTTTTTGGTTGGTAGGCTATTAATTACTGCCTCAATTTCAGAACTTGTTATTGATCTATTCAGGGATTTGACTTCTTACTGGTTTAGTCTTGGGAAGGTGTATGTGTCGAGGAATTTATCCATTTTTTTCTAGATTTTCTGGTTTATTTGTGTAGAAGTGTTTATAGTATTCTCTGATGTTTGTATTTCTGTGGGATCAGTGGTGATATCCCCTTTATCATTTTTTTTATTGTGTCTATTTGATTCTTCTCTCTTTTCTTCTTTATTAGTCTGGCTAGTGGTCTACCTATTTTGTTAATCTTTTCAAAAAAAAAAAAAACAACCAGCTCCTGGATTTACTGATTTTTTTGGAAGGGCTTTTCGTATCTCTATCTCCTTCAGTTCTGCTCTGATCTTTGTTATTTCTGGTCTCCTGTTAGCTTTTGAATTGGGTTGCTCTTGCTTCTCCAGTTCTTTTAATTGTGATGTTAGAGTGTTCATTTGAGATCTTTCCTGCTTTCTCCCGTTGGCATTTAGTGCTACAAATTTCCCTCTAAACACTGCTTCAGCTGTGTCCCAGAGATTCTGGTACATTGTATCTTTGTTCTCATTGGTTTCAAAGAACTTATTTATTTCTGCCTTAATTTTGTTATTTACCCAGTAGTCATTCAGGAGCAGGTTGTTCAGTTTCCATGTAGTTGTGCAGTTTTGGGTGAGTTTCTTAATCCTGAGTTCTAACTTGATTGCACTGTGGTCTGAGAGACTGTTTGTTATGATTTCCATCCTTTTGCATTTGCTGAGGAGTGTTTTACTTCCAATTATGTGGTCAATTGTAGAATAAGTGTGATGTACTGAGAAAAATGTATATTTTGTTGATTTGGGGTGGAGAGTTTTGTAAATGTCTATTAGGTCCACTTGGTCCAGAGCTGAGTTCAAGTCCTGAGTATCCTTGTTAATTTTCTGTCTCATTAATCTGTCTAATATTGACAGTGGGGTGTTAAAGTGTCCCACTATTATTGTGTGGGAGTCTAAGTCTCTAAGAACTTGCTTTATGAATCTGGGTGCTCCTATATTGGGTACATATATATTTGGGATGGTTAGCTCTCCTTGTTGCATTGATCCCTTTACCATTATGTAATGGCCTTCTTTGTCTTTTTTGATCTTTGTTGGTTTAAAGTCTGTTTTATCAGAGACTAGAATTACAACCCCTGCTTTTTTTTTTTCCTTTCCATTTGCTTGGTAAATTTTCCTTCATCCCTTTATTTTGAGCTTATGTGTGTCTTTGCAGGTGGGATGGGTCTCCTGAATACAGCACACTGATGGGCCTTGACTCCTTATCCAATTTGCCAGTCTGTGTCTTTTAATTGGGGCATTTAGCCCATTTACATTTAAGGTTAATATTGTCATGTGTGAATTTGATCCTATCATTATGATGATACTTGGTTATTTTGCTTGTTAGTTGATGTGGTTTTTTCATAGTGTCATTGGTCTTTGCAATTTGATATGTTTTTGCAGCGGCTGGTAACAGTTTTTCCTTTCCATGTTTAGTGCTTCCTTCAGAAGCTCTTGTAAGGCAGGACTGGTGGTGACAAAATCTCTTGGCATTTGCTTGTCCATAAATAATTTTATTTCTCTGTTGCTTATGAAGCTTAGTTTGGCTGGATATGAAATTCTGGGTTGAAAATTATTTTCGTTAAGAATGTTGAACATTGGCCTCCACTGTCTTCTGGCTTGTAGGGTTTCTGCCAAGAGATCCACTGTCAGTCTGATGGGCTTCCCTTTGTGGGCAACCCAACATTTCTCTCTGGCTGCCCTTAGCAATTTTTCCTTCATTTCAAACCTGGTGAATCTGACAATTATGTATCTTCGGGTTGCTCTTCTCAAAGAGTATCTTTGTGGTGTTCTCTGTATTTCCTGAATTTGAATGTTGGCCTGTCTTGCTAGGTTGGGGAAGTTCTCCTGGATAATGTCCTGAAGGACGTTTTCCAGCTGGTTTCCATTCTCCCATCACTTTCAGATACACCAATCAAACGTAGCTTTGGTCTTTTCACGTAGTCCCATATTTCTTCAAGGCTTTGTTCATTCCTTTTCCCTCTTTTTTCTCTAATCTTGTCTTCATGCTTTATTTCATCAAGCCGATCCCCAATCTCTGACATCCTTTCTCCCACTTGATTTCTTCACCTATTGATAGTTTTGTGTGCTTCATGAAGTTCTTGTTCTGGGTTTTGCAGCTCCATCAGGTCATTTATGTTCTTCTGTAAACTGGTTATTCTGGTTAGCAATTCCTCTAACCTTTTTTCAAGGTTTTTCGCACTGGGTTAGAACCCATGCTCCTTTAGCTCAGAGGAGTTTGTTATTACTCACCTTCTGAGGCCTACTTCTGTCAATTCATAAAACTCATTCTCCATCCAGTTTTGTTCCCTTGCTGGTGAGGAGTTGTGATCCTTTGCAGAAGAGGTGTTCTGGTTTTTGGAATTTTCAGTCATTTTGCACTGGTTTTTTCACATCTTAATGGATTTATCTACCTTTTTCTTTGATGTTGGTGACCTCTGGATGGGGTTTCTGTGTGGATGTCCTTTTTGTTGATGTTGATGCTATTCCTTTTTGTCTGTCAGTTTTCCTTCTAACAGTCACGCCTCTCTGCTGCAGGTCTGCTGGAGTTTGCTGAAGGTCCACTACAGACCCTGTTTGACTGGGTATCAGCAGCAGAGGCTGCAGAACAGCAAAGATTGCTGCCTATCCCTTCTTCTGGAAGGTTTGTCCCCCTCTGGGGGACCCACCCACCAGATGACAGCTGGAGCTCTCTTGTATGAGGTGTCTGTCGACCCCTGCTGGGAGGTGTCTCCCAGTCAGGAGGCATGGGACTCAGGGACCTACTTGAGGAAGCAGTCTGTCCCTTAGCAGAGCTTGAGTGCTGAGCTGGGAGATCCACTGCTGTCTTCAGAGTCATGGAACGTTTAAGTCTGCTGAATCTGTGTCCACACCTGCCCCTTCCCAGGTGCTCTGTCCCAGGGAGATGGGAATTTTATCTATGAGCCCGTGACTGGGGCTGCTGCCTTTCTTTCAGAGAAGCCCTGCCCAGAAGAAAGGAATCTAGAGAGGCAGTCTGGCTACAATGGCTTTGAGGTGCTGTGGTGGACTCCACCCAGTTCAGACTTCCCAGGGCTTTGTTTACACTGTGAGGGGAAAAGCGCCTACTCACGCTTCAGTAATGGCAGATGCCCCTCCCCCCACCAAACTCAAGTGTCCCAGGTCGACTTCAGACTTCTGTGCTGGCAGCGAGGATTTCAAGCCAGTGCATCTTAGCTCGCTGGGCTCTGTGGGGGTGGGATTGCTGAGCTAGACCACTTGGCTCCCTGGCTTCAGCCCCCTTTCCAGGGGAGTGAACGGTTCTGTCTTGCTGGCATTCCAGGCGCCACTGGGGTATGAAAGGAAACTCCTGCAGCTGGATCAGTGTCTGCCCAAATGGCCACCCAGTTTTGTGCTTGAAACCCAGGGCACTGGTGGCGTATGCACCTGAGGGAATCTCCTGGTTTGCGAGTGGCAAAGACCATGGTAAAAGCATAGTAACTGGGCTGGAGTGCACTGTTCCTCGTGGCACAGTCCCTCATGGCTTCCCTTGGCTAGGGGAGGGAGTTCCCTACCCCTTACACTTCTGGGGTGAGGTGACACCCCACCCTGCTTCGGCTTGCCCTCCATGGGCTGCTCCCACTGTCTAACCAGTCCCAATGAGACGAGCTGGGTACCTCAGCTGGAAATGCAGAAATCACCTGCCTTCTGTGTTGATCTCGCTGGGAGCTATAGGCTGTAGCTGTTCCTGTTTGGCCACCTTGCCAACTACCACCCCTTTATTTTTATTTTTTTGAAATAGAGTCTTGCTCTGTTGTCCAGGCTGGAGTACAGTTGTGCAATCTTGGCTCACTGCAACCTCCACCTCCTGGATTCAAGCAATTCTCCTGCCTTAGCCTCTCAAGTAGCTGGGACTATCATGCCCACCACCACACTCAGCTAATTTTTGTATTATTAGTAGAGATGGAGTTTTACCATGTTGGCCAGGCTGGTCTTGAACTCCTGGCCTCAAGTGATCTGCCTGTCTTTGTCTCTCAAAGTATTAAGATTACAGGTGTGAGGCACCATGCCTGGCCAGTTTCAGCTGTTACATTTAGGTCTTTGGTACATTTTGAGTTAATATTTGTATACAGTGTGAGGTAGGGGTCCAAATGCATTCTCTTGCATGTGCTTATCCAGTTGTCCAAGCACTGTTTGTTAAATCTACCTTTTCTTTTCTTTCTTTGTTTGTTTCTTTCCTTCTTTCCTTTTTTTTTTTTTTTTTTGAGACAGGGTCTTGCTCTGTCACTTAGGTTGAAGTGCAGTGGTGTGATCATGGCTCAGTTCAGCTTCCAACTTCTGGGCTCAAGTGCTCCTCCTACCTCAGCCCCCTGGGTATCTGGGACTATAGGCATGCACCACCACACCTGGCTAATTTTAATCTATTTTTTAAAAATATTCCTTTTTCTCCAGGCAGCTGCTCCCAACCCCAGCGCCTTTGCTGTCTTGGAACAGATCACCACTGCAAGAGGGGAGGTTGCTACTGTGATGAATTCTGCCATGTGGTACCAGACTGCTGCCCAGACCACAGTGTCCTCTGCAACCCTGGTAACTCATATGCAGGCTTGTTTCCACCCACAGCAAAGCTGGATGCTGTGGTTGGCAGAGGCGAGCCCTTTGCCTGCATGTCAGGCCAAAGCCGGGACATGCCCTGGATAGTTCCTAAGGTCCCTGACAATCCTGAGATCTTGCATCCTATTTCAGGTCAAAGGTGCCCACATGTTCCTTCTGGCTTTGTTTCCTGATATTCCTTGCCACCTGCTACTCCTCTCTGAGCTACTTTTCCAGGTTCCACAGAGAGAGGTTACGCTGTCTGTGGTAGAGATGAGGAGGAGAAAGAGGGGGCTGGGTTCCACTTAACGCTCTCTCTTCTTGCAGTATGGATGTCTCTTGACTGGTGCAGGTAGACTTTTGAGGGGAGACAGGAATCTGCAGAGAGACACTGCGGATGTTGGGCAGCAGCAGTGGGTGTGGGAGGCAGAAATGACGACAGGAACTTTCACCTTGTGTTTCTCTCAGCTTCTCAGATGACCAAGATGGGGCTGCAGATGGTGCTGAGGATGGAGAACCCACCCAGCCCTGCTAGGAGCCATCTAGACTGGGTGCAGAGCACGGTGAGCTCCTGGAAGTTCTCCAAGAGGGGGTGGATAGCAGCCTGCTCCTTGCCTTTGTGGCCTCCAGACCCCAAAGTCAGGGAACCAGAGGGAGAAAGGGGCCTTAGCTATGGCAGAGCTCCACTGCAATGATCGGTTTAGGGGTAGGAGCCAGGATTGCTGTCTGTGGACACTGAAACTTGAATCTCATATACTTCTCATATGTCACAAAACATTATTCTTTTTTGTTTTTCTCCTACCATCTAAAAATACAGAAAACATTCTTAGCCTATGAGGTGTACAGAAACAGGCAGTGGCCAGATTTGCCCCATAGCCTGTAGTTTGCTGACCTCTGCCATTAGTCATCCTCCATTCTCCTCTTTCCTTCTGTGTCCTTGTTACTGACAAAGCCACTCCCCCTGAAATGGGGTCTTTCCCTGTTTGGTGCCATGAAGCCAATATGCAAAACCGAAAGTGAGTGTCAAGCAGTGCAGGCTTTATGTGGTGGCCATGGAACTCAGAAGTGAGAGCTTGGCTCGCAAATCAACATTTCTGCTTGTGAGACTCTGGAAGTCACAGATATAGAAAAGGGGCTGAGCATTAAAAGCAAGAGGAGGAGTGGCCAGGTGCCAATGGCTTACTCCTACAAACCCAGCACGGTGGGAGGCCAGGATGAGAGGATTGCTTGAGACCAGCAGTTCGAGACCAGCATGGTCAACATAATGAGACCCTCATCTCTACAAAAATAAAAATAAAAAAAGCAAAGGGAGGAATTGTGTTTTCTGGGTCTGGGTGGAAACGTTTTCAAAGCCAGAGTGCCACCTTCCTATTTGTTTTTTTCTGTTTTTACCCCCTAGCATTGTCATGGTGGCTGATTGCTGTTACGGTGCCAGTGGCAGTGTGATTTAGCATGGAAATTAGAGTATAACGAAGTTAGAGGTCAAGTGAGCCGCCATCCTGGATCCCAACAGTCTTAGCTGGCTTCATCACCAGCTAAGGAGAAGTTCTGATCTCAGGCATCCTGTTTCCTAAAGATAAACAGAGTTCTGGCAGGGTAGATATTCACTGAGGTCATGTAGGCATTACACTGGATAACATCTTGGCTTCAAGAGCTGTCCAGAGCCCTCTGCCCAGCACTGGAGGAGAGGCCTTGGCCTGCATCCTGGCATATTATGGCTTTGGGCAGAAAGAAAAGCAGATAGTGCAATGGAAAGAGAGTGTGCTTGATAGTCAGATAGACTTGAGTTCAGCTCCCAGCTCTACCACTTACTGCCTGGGTGACCTCAAGCCACTTTCTCAGCCTTTCTGAGCCTCAGTTTCCTCATGTGTATCCTAGAGCTTGCCTGATAGGGCCATAGGGAGGATTGGTTGAGGTCAGGCGTGGAGAGGGCCTGGCTCCTGGTGAGTGTGGTTTGGAAACACAGCACAGGTGGGAACAGAACTGCGCTTCCTGCTCTCTTAGGTTCAGCGGCTTCTCCAAACCAGCCTCCCAGGAATGCCGTTCTCCATGGCCATAGAGGGGATCAAGAAGAAAGCCTGACTCCTCTCCTGAGGCCCCTTCCCCACCCCGAGCCAGCAGGATCCATGGAGCAGAGGTCATCTGTCCCCAGCGTGGCCAGCTGAGGCCAGAATTGCTGGGCCAGGGGTGCTTGTCTCTCAGCTCACATCCTGTATACTTTCACATTGGTTTAGCCAGAGCAAAACTGAAATGTACAGTTGTCATGAACACGTTTAAATGTGCGTAGAATCAGTGATACAAGCTATGAAACATGTTTGGCTCACGGTATTATTCATTGCTTTGTGATGGTTGCAATTACTATAGCAAACATTTCTTGAAAGTAGAAAATAAAAACCCAGCATCCCTTTAGCTAAGTAATTTGTGCTGTCTCCTCAGCATTCCTTCCTGGGCTCCGCATTACTGCCCGTAAGTCTGGAAACATTCTGTTCTGAGCCCGTAGTCCAGGCCGTGTGTTCAGGCTTCCTCTCCCAGCGATGAAAGGAGAGGCGGCCGACCTTTCTCCAGTGAGCCCAGATGGGCCTCTGGGAGTCTCCTGGGGTGCACAGGATTTCCGAGATCGAGGAGGGGGCTGCCAGGGGCTGTGCGGTCTGATGAACCAGTCACCTTCCCTTCCACACCTGCCCTTGCCTGTTTCTGTGGGTGGCTTCCCCGTCCTTAGCTTCCTGGACTCCAGACCTCAGGGTCATCTTTCGCTTCTCTCTGCGAGTTGCCAAGTCTCTCTAGTGTTACTTCGCGATATTGTTCATATCCACCCCCTTTCTAGTCCCACTGCTGAAGTCCTAGGTCACAGCCTCCTACCTGGCCCCCTTGCCCTGACTTTCCGTTCCTGGCCTCCGCCCAAGCAGAGCTCTGGTACTGCTGGTTCCCTGCTCAAACCCACCCCTGGAACTGCTTCCCATCACCTACAGAATGAAGGCTGAACGCCTACGCGTGGCGCAAAGAGTCATCAACAGGGCCCCAGTGCACACTTCTGGTCTTATCCTGCTAATCCCTGCCCCCACCTTCCTATACTGCAGCTGAATGGAACGACCACCACCCCGAGGGAACGCTGGTTTCTCAGTAAATGTTCGTAGCACAGAAGCCCTGTCAGCGCCGTACCCAGCTATTGGCTGATGGGTCAGCTTTAGCTCCATTTCTCTGAATAATTTATTTTGGAACATAATCTCAAAGAGCAAGGTTAGGAAAAGGGGAGGTGAGACAGGGACAGAGGGAGCGCCCGTGCAAAGACGTGTCTCCAGTTGACCCCTGCGGTGGCTGGCTGGTGGCTTGATCCTGTACGATCTTCTAAGAAGCTTTATGAGACGTGTCTGAGAACCATCTGTCCTGGAATGAATCTGTCGGCTCCCATTCCTCATGAGTTACGAGTTGCTCACAGGATTCTGGATACCTACAGATGTTCCTCGGTTCTTCGTCTTAGGAAGGGGTTCCGTCCCGATAAACAAGTGGTAAGTCAAAAATACTGTAAGTCAGAAACATTTAATACTCTGATAAGCCCATCATAAAGTCAAATCACTGTAAGTTGGGACCATCTGTATACCCAAGACAGAAACAAGAATGTTCATAGCAGCTTTATTCAAAATAGTGAAAAACAAAATAATCTAAATGCCCAGCAAGAGGAAAATGGACAAATAAATTGTGTTATATTTATGCAGTGGAATACTACCCAACAACAAAAACGGATGAAGTAAAATACTTCCACAGCACATGGCTGAGTCTCACATAGTGTCAACAAAGAATCCAGACACAAAAGAGCATATATACGCATGATTCCATTTATATGAAATTCAAAGACAGGCAGAGCTCATCTGCGGCGACAGAGGTAAGAATGTGGTTACCCTGAAGTGGGGGGGTTGCCCGAACCCGGGAGGCAGAGGCCGCAGTGAACCACTCCAGCTTCAGAGACAGAGCCAGACCCTTTCTCTAAAAACCAAGAATGATTGTTCCGTTCTGTGGCAGCAAGTGGGGCCTGACTGGAAGGGAACACAAGGGAACTGTTGAGGCGCTGAGCACATTCTGAATCTTGACCTGAGTGTCAGGTACATCCTGGGCATATACACATTACATACGAAAAATTCATCAGGCTACATGCTACTTCAGATGGACACAGTTTATAGTATGTAGGTTACACACAATAAAAGAAGTGAGTGAACCAAAGAATACTGGGCTCCCTGGTACTTCCTCTTCTGCAACCCAAGGAAATAAGCCTTGGAGTGGAGAGCACCTGTTCTTGGGGCCTTGCAAAATTAGGTGATTCTTTTTTTTTTTTTTTTTTTTTTTTGAGATGGAGTTTTGCTCTTGTCGCCCAGGCTGGAGTGCAATGGTGCAATCTCAGCTCACTGCAACCTCTGCCTCCCAGATTCAAGTGATTCTCCCGCCTCAGCCTCCCAAGTGGCTGGGATTACAGGTACCTGCCACCATGCCCAGCTAATTTTTTTGTATTTTTAGTAGAGATGGGGTTTCTTTCTATTTTTTTTTTCAAGATGGGGTTTCACCATGTTGGTCACGCTGGTCTTGAACTCCCTACCTCAGGTGATCCGCCTGCCTTGGTCTCCAAAGTGCTTGGATTACAGGTGTGAGCCACCACGCCCGGCCGAGATAGGGTTTCACTATGTTGGACAGGCTGGTCTCGAACTCCTAACCTCAGGCGATCCATCCGCCTCGGCCTCCCAAAGTGCTGGATTACAGGCATGACCCATGGCACCCGGCTGACTTAGGTGATTCTTACCGCGTCTGTGTCTGTAATCCCGCCTGGCCAGTTCTCATCCACATAATCTGTGCATGCTCAACATTTGAAACCAGTGGGGGCCCATTCAGACCCAAGAGCTGGTATTAAAGATCATTTTAAACTGAAAACTGGCCAGGTGCAGTGGCTTACGCCTGTAATCCCAGCACTTTGGGAGGCCAAGGTGGGTGGATCACTTGAGGCCAGGAGTTCGAGACCAGCCTGGCCAACATGGTGAAACGCTGTCTCTACTAAAAATATAAAAATTAGCCAGGTGTGGTGGCACAGACTTGTAATCCCAGCTACTTGAGAGGCTGAGGCAGAAGAATCACTTGAATCCAGGAAGTGAGGTTTGCAGTGAGCCGAGCCTGAGCCATTGCACTCCAGCTCGGGCAACAGAGTGAGACTTTGTCTTAAACAAACAAGCAAATAAATAAATGTGAAAACATCTGAGATACAGAAGATGCAGAAAGAAACCTTATCTGAATTTTCCTTTCCTGACTAAAGCAGAGCCTCCCCAAAACGCAGAGGCCAAGGCAGTTCCCTGCCGATTCGGCTGCCTTGGAGACAGACTGGCTGTTGCTGTTAGCCCCGAAAGCCCGGTGCAACCTTCCGCACTTTCCCACTAAGCCCCAACCCTTCCCTGGTGTTGAGTTTGGTAAACACACCTTTATTTCTGGGTACTCGGTGAGTTACTCATGGCGGAGCACCTCTCAGGTGCATGTGTAAATACGTCCAGGCTTCCCTCCTGTTAATCTGTTTTGTCTCAGCTAATCTGCAGGCCTGCAAGCACTGGGCCCAGGTTGAAGGAGGAAGAAGGTTCTCCACCCAGTGAGTGCAGAGCGGCTTTGTGGTGGCCTGAGGAGCTAGGGTACAGCAGACCCATAACCTTGTATTTCAGGGACATTTTACCACGTGTCAAAGAACAGAGTCGAACTCTGTAAAATATACGAAGAGATTTGTTCTGAACCAAACGTGAGTGACCACAGCCTGCGACACCGCCCTCAGGAGGTCCCGAGAACATGTGTCTAAGGGCGTCAGGGCACACCTGGGGTTTATATAGTTTAAAGAGACACCAGTCAAATACATGTAAGGTATACACTGGTTCAGTCCGGAAAGGTGGCACAGCTCCATGTAAGGTATACACTGGTTCAGTCCGGAAAGGTGGCACAGCTCAAGGCTCCAGGTAGACTTAAAACTTTCTAATTGGCACTTGGCTGAAAGTTATTATCAATAGAAAGGAGCGTCTGGGTTATGATAAGAAGTTGTGGAGACCGGCCGGGCGCGGTGGCTCACGCCTGTAATCCCAGCACTTTGGGAGGCCGAGGCAGGTGGATCACGAGGTCAAGAGATCGAGACCATCCTGGTCAACATGGTGAAACCCTGTCTCTACTAAAACTACAAAAAATCAGCTGGGCATGGTGGCGCGTGCCCGTAATCCCAGCTACTCAGGAGGCTGAGGCAGGGGAATTGCCTGAACCCAGGAGGCGGAGGTTGCGGTGAGCCGAGATCGCACCATTGCACTCCAGCCTGGGTAACATGAGTGAAACCCCGTCTCAAAATAAATAAATAAATAAAATAAAATAAAATAAAATCACTGTCATTATTAAAAAAAAAAAAAAAAAAAGAAGTTGTGGAGACCAAGGTTTTCTCATGCAGACGAAGTCTCCAGGTAGCAGGCCTCGGAGAGAAAAGATCGTCAATGTTTCTTACAAGACTTCAGGTCTGTGCTAACGTGAAATGCTGGTGACTTTTCCTGCATTCCCAAAGGGCGGAGGGCATCGTGAGGCATGTCCAACTCCGCCCACGCCCCCCAGGGCCAGTTCCCATCATGGCCGGAACCCATCCTTCAGGTTCCATGTGGAGTGCCCTGGCTGAGGAGGGGTTGGGGGCCTTTGAATTTTGTTTTGTTTATACCAGCAGCAATTCTACCCGGGCCAGTGCTCTGCTTTACTCCACACCCTGTCCCCAGCAGTCAGATTTGTCCCTTCCACACGCCCTGGTTTCATGGGACAGGAGTGAGGAGGGGGCTCTTCCAAACACCTGTGGGACTGCAGGGCCCAGACAGAGCTGGGGACAATTCCCCGCCCGGCTGTTCAGGCTGTAAAGTTTGTCGTTATTTTTTATTCCTCTCTTTCTTGCACCTCATGTCAGCTCTTCTTTCAAAATACATCCAGAATCAGCTCCTTACCAGCTTCTTCGTTACCCCCAGTCAGAGCCACACCCATCTCTCACTTAAACGAGGGCAAAGGCTCCTAACGCCCTGTTTCCCCTGTTTTCAACGCAGCAGCCGGGGAGGTCCTTCTGAACTGCTAGCAGCCAGGTATCCCTATGGGTCTGCAGCAACTCAGTTCTTGCCTCCACGAAGGAAAGAATTTGTCCGAGGGGCATAAGGCAGAGTGGGAGACCAAGGCATGTTTCAGAGCAGAAGTTGGAAGTGTGTTAAGAGGTTGTCTGGGTCCGGGCCGGCTGGCTCACACCTGTAATCCCAGCACTGCGGGAGGCCGAGGCGGGCAGATCACCTGAGGTC